ACGGACAGGCGAGGTAGGAGCCTGCGGGGAACGGCCAGAATGTCCTGAAGTCGGCAAGGGACTGTCACCGGCGCAGCCTTAGAGAGCGACGCCAAGCGCTGAAGTCCAGTTGGAGCAGTCGAACGGTCCTGACAGGCAAACATGGCAGAAAGAGGCAACAGTGACAACACAAGCCCAACATGCAATAGAACACCCTTTTTGACAAGCAAGCTCAACTCCAGCTGCACGCCAGCCCTCCCAGCACTTACGGCCGGGCGGACCGGACAGAGGAGGAACGCAAAAGGGTGCAGTATGCTATGATGTATGCTTCTAGACGACGTCTCTATAGCGTACCTGCTCTGCATAAAAGCGGCAGATTTCCTAAGAGAGACGTGTGCCCAGACCAGACCGCCCAGTAGCAATAAGATCAGACAGAAATGCTTGTGCTAAGCAGGCGGGCGGACAGGAAAGGACGGACTAATCACAGTGTGCCTTGAGGCATTCAAAACACTTGTGCCCCGTGTGTCCATCCCGCTCGCCAGCCATGACCGGACAGAGGCACAAGCCATAGCAGTTGGCGGAACGGTTGCGGGCAGAGCAGCTGTGAGAGCAGTACCCCCGTAGTGGCAAGTGTGAGACGGGCTCGGCCGGTTCTTGGAGAGTCACCCAATTGGGGATCTCGCAGGCCTTCAGACAGAAAATGTCCGCATACGGCCACCAAGCCGGACGGATCATGGTGCATGACATGGACGGGAGCACTGGATTAATTATCCGCCCTTGTCTGATGTCCACGGACCGCGGTTGGCACGCCTGGCAGACAGAGGCGGAATAGGGTCGCGCCACACGTACTCGTTCTCGGGCAGGGCAGCGGGCGGCCGGGGTGACCACAGGTTTCGGTTAGCGGGCGGCTGGTTGTTCGGACGTTTGCTGGTTGACCAGCAAGATAAACACGACGCCGGCCACCAAGTCACGCAGGCGGACGCCACCAACGTGGGCGTGATCGCCTCATCGGAGTGGCCCAGTAGGGCCCTCAAAGCCTGGGCGGCAGTGGGCCCCGGACGTGCGGAATTGGTGCGGCCCGCCGGCCGGAGGCGGGAATGACGCTTGAGCACCGGAGCCGGACGGAGGCGGGAAAGAAGCCTGGCTTCCGGACATGGCTGCAGGCACGCTAAAAGCTGACACTGAAAGCTTGGGCACTGATGAAAGCTGCAGGCATGGTGCTGAGTGCTCAACGCAAGCAAGCAAGTCACCCACTGCGAGCAAGACTGGACACAGCAGTGCAGTCGGTCCTCGGCATCCTCAGCACGTGGGACGGGCGGAGGAGAGATCTCGACCTGGCGGACAGAGGGCGGACCAGACCAAGCTCAAAACTGACAGCCCTGCCTGGAAGGCGAAGGAGTCAGAATCTCCACAGCCTCGTGACCTGCGGAAGGAGGACCCGAGCCAGCCAGCCTGCAAGCGGAGTCCAGACGGAACCGCTAAAACAAATAGACACCCCACCTTGAGGGTGAAGATGTCGCATCCATGGCTACGGACAGGCAAATGCAGCACAACGTCCTAAGGCAGACAGACTGTAACAACATGTGCACATGACGGCATGGAGACATGGCATGTAAAGTCAAAATGTCAAACTCCAAAAAGCTTATGCTGCACTAAGCCTGCGAGCCAAGATGCTTCAGAGGGAGAAGCATGCTTGCCGTTGCGTCCAAGCACAAACACTACTGATCAAGCTCAAGATCAGACGACGTCGTGGAGATCCTAGGTAACCTGCGCGGGGCTAACGACGCACCATCACAACGGTACCATGAGTTCGATGCTCAGGCCCGTGCCGCGGGCTTCACCAAAAGCATGTTTGATCCCTGCTTGTATTACTTTCGTGACTCCTCCTCTCCCGCAGTTTCTGGGGTCCTGGGCGCTCATGTTGATGATGCAACAACAGGGGGGGAAGGTGAGCAGTATCAGGCAGCTATCGCGAAACTGCGCGCACGTTTTCCTTACCGCAAGCGGCGCACTGGCACCAGTGAGTTTTTGTGGCACTATGTACACTCAAGACCCTAGGACACTTGAGATCACCTTTCACTAAGAGACCTATGCCAAACATTTAAGGCCCATAAGTTTGACCAAAGAGCGCCAGCGCCAGAGAGAAAGCCCTGCACCGGAACAGGTAATCAAGGCACTGAGAGCAGTCAACGGAGCGGCCAGCTGGATCTCCTCCCAGACTCGTCCAGATCTGTGTGCACAAACCTCGTTTTCCCAGCTATCCTTCCCAACACCTAAAGTAAAAGATCTGCTGCGCGCTAATCAGCTAGTGCATCGTGCCCGACAGTACGCAGACGTTAGCATCACAGTCCGTCATATTCCTTGGAAGGATTTATGCATTTATGCATTGTCTTCCACTCAGATGCCGGGTTCGGTAATGCATCACAGAGCAAGACCCAAGCCGGGTACGTAGTGGCGTTTACCGACAAACATCTGGAGAAAGATCAGCAAGCAGCGCGGTCCCCCGTAGCCTGGAAATCCCTCACACTTCCCAGGTGGTAGCCTCCACTCTTGCTGGAGAAATCCAAATCTTTTGCATGGCCAGTGGCCTGGCCGAATGGCTCTCGCTCGTGATTTCCGAGATCAATCACGGATGTTTTGATCTCAGACAGTACGAGAGCCATCTGGCGAACACTTCCATGACAGGCATCACCGACTGCAAGTCGCTGTACGATGCGTTGCACAGCGCGGGGTCCCCCTCTGAGGCTGATGATAAAAGGGCTGTTATAGACTGGGCAATTATTAAGCAGCGCATGGCACGAACAGGCCTCAGTGCTAGATGGTGTCCGACACAGCTCATGATCTCAGATGGGATGACTAAGGATCTCGCCGATCCAGCTGATCTCCTTAAGCCTTAGGACCATTTGAGCCCATGGCACACACCAACTTTCCAACGAAGCGTCAGTGTTAGCACTTAAGAAGGAACAGCGGGATCGTAGAGCTGCGCGTAGGCCAGTTGCAGATTCCAACTCAGCCCAAACACCCCCCTTTCCTAAGAAGTTGTGACTTATAATGCTGAAGCATGGCCGGAGCCTAATCCTCGTACAGGGGTTCCTCTGAGAAGGGTGTGTCGTGATCAGTTTACAGGGCATGTCGTGAGCAATCATAACCTTACCCAGCGCGCGCGCCTGAAGCAACAAAGAAGCCTCAGCAGACAGCGCGCCTTCTCACTGAGTTCTGGCACCTTCCGCACCAACCGCGAACGCACTTGTGAGCCAAGCAGAATTCCGCACGCAAGCGTGGGATTCCGGGGAATCACCACCTGAATTCAGGGTTTCCACCTGTAATCCTAGGGTTACGTAGGTGAAGTGTAGAGGTAATCGCCCGTACTCGCTGCATCTGCAATGTTAATGGTTCATAGAATAGTTGACCCGTACCAGACGTAGTGCGCCGCTAGCTCCAGCATCCCTAAGTCTTCCTTGTGCAAGCATGGCTCCCAAGAACAGCAAGACTTCCTCGAACTCCAGCTCGGAGGAAAAGCAGCTCCGGGAGTTCATGGGGCTGATGAGTGAGCAGGGCCGGGCCGTACCAGCGAAATCCTCACCATCATCTGCGAGAACTTCAGCTCCCAACCTCCGGAGCCCGACAACCAGGGCATGTCTGATGCTTCCAAGCGTCGCCGTGACACGACGACTACATGGGATGAGGCAGTCTTCGTGGAGCCATCCGCGACAACAGCATGCAGCTCCGGAGCTGGAGGTAGATACCAGGCGCCTGTGGCTCCCGCTCGAAGCAGCAACACGGAGGGTGTTCCCGAGAACTGGGTGAACTCGTTGAGGTCCAGTGGTCCAGCTCTTCCGGCTGGAGTGCAGTCTTTCGAGGAGTGGGGACGCACCATCATTCAGGACAACCCGAACGCTCTGCGCCCTCCTGCTGGACGTATCCTTTTTCCTGAAGGGATCCAGTCCCTTGAGGAGTGGGGTCATACAGTATGCAAGCTACCCAAGGTCGCCAAGCTGGACATGACCTACCGTTAGTTGGCAACTCTTGGCCACTACGACCAGGAAATCTACAACTACCTCACCCGCTTCGTGATGAATCACAACCGGACCTCCAGCAAGGTTCACGACTTGCACCGCTACTTGATTGCCATTGACTTCAAGCGTGAGTTCCCGTTGACTTATGCACCTTCGTCCTTGAAGTCTCGTACGTTGCGTGAGTGAGTGCAGTGAGCAGGGGCAAGCTGGTGTTCTTGAGGATTAATGGCCACGGTCCTCAAAGGAGATGCGGTCCAGCTACCGTCCCAATTCTATAACTGAAGATCAGAAGAGAAAGAGTGTGAATCCACTCCGATCTCCTGATGCCCAGGTGTTCTACCGAAGCGGACCTTTCTGCCCGAGCGACAAAGTGCCGCTTAGTGTACCCCAGGCGGGGTAGGGTTCAATTGAGAGGGGTAAGTGATTGCATTTGGTCTTGTATAGAAACAAATAGGCTAGCGTCCCTGTCGGCCCCAGTACCCCCAGCGGAAACACAAAGCCAGACTTAGCGAAGCCCCATTCAATCTAAGTGGTGTTGAAGTACTCCTAGAATGTGCAATTCCTAAGTGATTTACATCAGATTCTATATAAAGCTCCTTGTCAGAAACAGCGGCACGCCTAATAACGTTAGGAAGGCTAGAATTGGGACTTGATGAATCCGCTCAGGCAGTGTTTGCAAGCATTGCGTACTTTATGAATTACTTCTATGCAATTAAATGTCGCATGGAGCTGCGAAACTTCCAACCAGCACAGGAATTGGAATTTAGATTTTGAACTGGGATTGATACAAACAAACGACCTTCTCAGGCTGGGTGGGATTGCTACTTGAAATTGAGCATTTCTGATTCATGTCTCAGAAGATCCAAGAACCTTATACTAGTTAGGGCGTGAAGTCACAGAATTTTCACATTTGCACGAGTTATGGAGGGGTGAGTGATACATGTAGTTTTTTACGTATACATACATATGCATATGCATGTATCTCTGTGCGTGTCTTATTTGGTCCTTGCCGCAGTAGCCAGCGAGCAGCCGGGAAACCTGCTGCTGCGACTGATTGGGCTCTCTGCGAAGCTCCAGCTTCAGCGCTGGCTTGTACCTTGCTGCACTCTGCCAGCTTTAAGCTTCCGCACTGCGTGAAAACCACTCGGTGCACTCTGCGACACCGCCATAGTGCAGCATATAATCTCCGCAAATCCTGCACATGAGGACCCAAGGGGGAGAGAGAGTGGGGGTGGATGGAGGGGTCGGAGACGGCATGTCGTTCAGCTGAAGGAGTAATTCTTTGGCTCTGTTGTCTGTTGTCGTCAGCTCTGGCGCACCATCCCTCCAACGGCGGACTCAGACTTCCGCTCCTTAACCCTCTATGTTTGGAAGTGCCCTGTGCCTATTTCCTAGACCCCACGCACCTACCTCTGCAATAGGTATCGGAGCCCCTCAATACATTTGGAGGGGATCCTTATTTCCTGTTTGGATTGGATGAGCAGGAGACGTCAAAAGAGCTCCCTTGAAGCTTCTGCAAAAGGTGAAAAAAATGATGATGTCAAAGCTCGGCTCAAGGGACTGAGGAGATGCGCCCCCCCCTCTGCAGTTTGTCCTTGTCGAAGAGTCAAATGCAAATTCGAGCGTGCCCTCAAGGACGCCTGGGACTCCGAAGTCGCCATAGTTCCGGACCTTCCCACCGAGAATCTCTTGCAGAGCAAGGGCAGCAAGGTGCAGGATGGCGAGACACAACAGCCACAGGAAGCCACAGGTCCTTGAGGTCCAGCTCAGGGTCCTTGATGATCCGGTGCCCAAACTGAAGTCAACCCCGCCAAGAGCTCTTGGGAAAGGGAGAGAAGGGAGAGGTTGCATGGTTTTGGGGGTCTTCGAGGCCTGCAGCCTGGACAGCCGCGGGTCCACCAGCGGCCCCAAAGAACCATCGCCCTGAAGCAGACAGGCAGGGAGGCCCTAGGCCCAGCCTAGGGCTGATTCCCAAGGGCTCCTGTGCCCGAAATCCCACGAGCGCCTTGATGTCAGAAGCATGGCTTGGTCAAGGATTGCAAGATCCGGGGGAGGTGCCACGAATCCCGATCGCGAGAAGCTGCTGATCTCTACAGAGTAGGCCTCTGAAGCTGATCTCCCCTGAAATAAACATGTACGTATTTGCAGGATCTTGCAGGCTTGCCCGCGTCTCCCCACCTCAATCGTACCATCTTTCAAAGCACGCCTGCCGGAAATGGTCACAGTCCTAGTGCCCCTAGTGCAACAACAGCAGCTCACCTGGGAGGTTTGTACCGCATGCCTGTGCCTAGGACTCTACGGCAGCACATGTTGTACACGTGCAATGAAGCAAATCAGGCAAAGCAAAGGGCATGATCTGGGCGCTGGGCGTGCGAAGGAGTCAAGGCAAGCAACGCTCACACCCTTAGCGCGCAAGAACATCACTTTTCGGCTGTTTTGTGCCCGTTCCAGGCATGCCTCCTGGACGGGGCCCTGGTTTGGGCAGCCTGTTGGAAAGTGATGGAATCCAATCGAAATGCGGGACCCGAAGCCTCGCCTCCCCGTGGATTCACCAGCACTGCAAGCCACCAGTGCTTCTCCTGCTGCCGGCCCATGTAATCCTGGAGGAGCTATGCGCTCATTTATGACTTTGGAGATTCGAGCAGCCCGGCTCGGAGGAGCTCATTGACGGGAACGGCAAACGCCCCCACCTCTTTGGCAGTCGCTGCAAAGATAGATTCGCTGCATTGCTTTGCCTGGTCCGCAAAAAGGCCACCCTTGCCGAGACGGCGCTTGGCCCAATTGGCCACGTTGCTGTGGCCTTGCACAAAGTCCACCAATCCATGGCCGATAATGCTGCGCATTGTTCCAACGCTCTCGGAACCTGCACGGCCGTCTGAGGCCTCAGGTTCGGCTTTTTTCAAACATCGGTCACTTGGAGAATCGCTACGTTGCCACGCTGGGATTCCCACATGGCCCTTCTGCAGCATCCCGTAGAAGTAGGAACCCAAATAGGCCACGGAAGAGAGGCCTTGAGCAGAGGAGTAGGGCGCAAGAGCTTGAGTCTGGACATGCTCTCTCTGCTTCCAGGTGCCTTCGTTGAAGCCTGTCTCCTGCTTGCCGTTGGGGATCAATGCCTCAGCAAAGATGGCACAAAAGAAAAGCCGAAACTCTTCTAGAAAACACTCCTGGCCTGGCCAAGCTTCACAAAGAAGTCGAGCAAGGCATCGTTCAGATCTTCGCCATCCTGGCTTCCCACCCAAAGACAGCAAAAGAGTACAGCCCTTACATGGTCTTACGTGTCCTCGAGGCGCTTCACGTCGTGCACCAGGTGGACTGAGGCACGCTGGAAGGTCAGCTCGACACCTCCACAGGAGATCCGCGCAGAGCGGGAGAACATCGGACAAGGCAAGAAGCTCTAACTCTAGCGAGGCACCCGAAGCTTCCGCCATCACGAGGGAGCGAGGCAGCCCGCTTGTGCCTGGAGCATCACAAATCTAAACTTACGATGCTATTGAACAGGAAAGGGCCACGGCCGCAATGCGGAGCCACTAAGAAGGCCTCAGTCGACCACGTGGTCACCTAGGCAACCTAGGCAATCCTGCAGCCAGAAACCTGGAACCCTGCTCTGAGACCGGCACCCGCTACCACAGCATGGCATAGCAAACCGCAGGTGTTCCGTTCTCAGCTTATGAGCACTCTGGAAAACCACAATCTGCTGCGGCATGCTGACAATGCTCGTGATTGGGCCTTGCACCCTGCATAATTTTCTCCACATGAACTGGTTCATGCTATGGAGTACCCTTGAAGGACTTGAGCAAAATTGAAGCCAGGAAGCATGGTGTAGATGCAGTTGCACCAAACAAATGACTGGCTGCACTTGCCCAGCTCATGATTTCAAGGCATGGCAGCACTTGTGGCTGGCCCTTGTGTCCGCATCTTTGGCGTGCCACCCCCCTGAGCGGAGTCAGGGTCAGTGGCTTCGGCCTCCCGCAGGTCCCGCAGGCGCACTATGGCCTGATCAGGCTCCCACCGAGCATTCGGCACTCGACATGAAAATCACGCACCTCTGGCAGCCCGAACGGCAGAAGGGAAGCATAGCTTGGTGCTCCAGCATCAGCACAAATGAGGCCTGCCCAGCATTTTGCCCAAACACCTGGATGACCTCAGACTGATTCAGGATCCTTGGGCGCAGGCCGATAAACTCCAGCAGCACACCTAATCCGCCCATGCACTCGAGCGTCTCTGAGCCTCACAAGCGTCACATGGTTGCACGGACACGGATGTTGCAGCTGCATGTTGCAGCTTGGCATCTCTGGCATCTCAGAAGCCTACCAAATCGCTCTGACAGTCGAGTTGCATCCACCCAGCTCTCTGCAGCCTGCTTCCAAGAGCTATGGTCACAGAAGAAACCAGAAATGCAGTTGAGCCAGGGAAGCCTCGTTGCCCGCGTAGTGGCAGCACGTGAGCACGGTCTCCTGCTCGGGCCAGGTGTCAGGAGCCAAGAGCCGGGCAGCGCTGTCCTCGTCCAAAATCCATTTGGCCTTCAGGTTTGGAACCTGCTCCAAACTGCCCTGCTCAGAGAGTTCCTTGAGCGCATTCGCGAACATTGCGAACATGTCACACAACTCAAACAGAGGCCCAGGCCCAAGTCGGCGATGTATCCGTACAAGACCTCTGCTCGTAGAAGCCTGATCAGGAAAAGTGGGAAGATGTACATGCCTAGAATCATGGCTGGCGGCCTTTCATGCCAGCAATAGAAAATTCTGTCTTCAGACACCGGACCTCAAAGCTGCTTCATTGGTTCTCTGGAAGGTCTTGAGCAAAAAGGCCACTGCAGAAGAAATCCACGTCACATCATGTGAATGCACCTGGGTTCGCTGATCTTATAGACTTGCTGTTTCAATCAAGTACTAGGTCCACTGCTCGAAGTCGGTTGAATAGTTCCCTCGCAATGGCATGCTTGCTGCCTCAGATTGCAGGGCATGCGCCAGCTAGTTAGGGACTCCTGAAGTTCTGAGCGCAATGCCTTCGCAACGCTGCATCCAGACCCCAAACCGTGGCCTGACAATCCTGCCGGCTACGTCTTTTGCTAACACTATGGGTTTTTGCAGCAGCAGTAGCAGCAGCAGCAGCAGCGGGCTCCTTGACGTGTCGTCCTGAGTTGTGGGGCTCTGGTCCACTGCATCAGCCTGCTCATTGCCTCACAGATGTGTAGTGACGTGGCATCTCCTATGATCTGAAAGCCCATAAGAAAAGCATGTAATTGCCACGAAGTGCTTGGCCTCTCTCAGTGTCACTTTCCTCGGGACTTTCGTAGAGCTCGTCAGCTTCCAAGGAGGAATACCTTAACCCTAAACCGACCCGTGCGGCATACTTGTTATGCTGGATGATGGAATGGCTTGTCAAACTGCACAACGGTGTCACCTGGCTAATTTGAACCAATCCGAATAGCACAATCGGGCCCGCTGAAAAGGAGTCCATGAGCGCTGCAATCTTCGTCAAAATCAAGAGCTCGGCATCTTGGCTGGTCATGCTTTGAAAGAGACACGTTGTACTCGCAAGCAATACAGGACGATCACGCAAAAAACCAACGACTGTCAGATAATGAGAAATGATGGAAAGGGCAAAAGGAAAACGGGCAAAAAGGACAGAGCCAAGAAGAGAGAACTTACAAAACTCTGCCCCTTTCTTGGCCCCACAACATCTCGGTCCTCGCTTACTGTCGGTGGCGGATTCTGTGCTTGCTGCTATATGGTCTTGAAATTTCCATGTTGCATTGAATCCCCCTAAATGTAGCATAATGAACTTCTTATGCGAACATTGCATGGCTTCTGTTCGTCTGAGATGGACACATCCAAGTGCAGATCAGCTTGGCAATAGCGGGGCCAAATCCATCGCAGGCAGCGGACGCCCACGGAAATTCCCGCTACAATATTGGTGGGGGCTTTGCAACGCAAACTCCGGCAGCATTTGTTCAGAACGCACGTGCCCAAATCAATAACTGCCAACATGGACGTAAAGGGTGGAATAACACAGAACGCTGTTGCCTGTCATGCCTGGCGTTGGTCGCGTGGCCCAGTCCGAATTCACTGGCCAGAATGGTCGCCCAACGCGAACTTGAGCAACTTAAGGCTTCTGTGACATATGTCATGACTGAAGCACACACCTCTAGCATGGCAACATGAAAAAATTGACATGTCAGCAATGAGGGAAGAAGGGATGATTGGCCGACACGTCCCTGCATCAAAGAGGCGCCAGGATCTCATGGGAACGATCTTGGATATGCTTGCCACTATGCTCCCGATTGCAAGGGGAGAGTCTTCGAATATCATACATTTGTTCACTCAAGTTGCTTCCGTTTGAAGGAACTTCGTTCGTTTTCTTTTCAGGATCCTTGCTTCATTGGAGGTGGCGGCGGGTTTTGATGCGCAGCTGGGGTCTGGGGAGAACTCGAATCTTTCGATTATTCATATTAAAAATTTCCAGCAATCTCATACTCCATGCAATGAAAGATGCACATGGCGAATTATTTCTTGACAGAATGTGTACCAAAAAATATTCAAATTACAGATCATTCAACAGCGTATGGTTTTCAGAGCCCCGGACCTAAGTTTCCTGATTGGTGTGGCGCGTTGGGCATTAAAGTCCTTGCGATGTGCGTGTCACGTGTCTGCATTCGGGTTCGTGGATCCTATCGGGCTTCGTATCCAGCGCACTGGGGATTTTGGTCCCAACCTTGTTTTGACCAACGATGTGCAAGCATATTCTTTCCCCTGCATTGGGCGGGTGGGAAAAATTTCTCTGACGCCTGGCGCATGCCTTGAGATAGCAAACACTCAAAGAAAACAAACATGGCTCACAAGTTTAGCAAAAAAACAAGTCCCGAAGGGATGTACTCAGGTACAACCTCCAACAAGAATTTGAAAACATGTAAATCAATCCGTACTCAAATAAGTCCCGGCAAATCAATATCACACTCCCGACTCAAATGCAGCACACGAAGCAAGCACGCACTGCAAAGAAGTGACCCACACACTTTTCACACCCGAGGTCGTGCAAGCAAAGGCTTGTGTAACTGCAGCGGAACAACGCAGATGCCAGCCGCAACTGCAAAGAGTCAAGGGTAGCATCACGCACCCAAAGATTTCCAGGGTTGCGGGTTGCTGTGTTGCACAACGTTGGTCGTCGTGAAGGAGGACTGCACTCAACAACTTAGTGTGAGCGGCCATTCAGCGATGGCATCCAAACAAGGGAACCGTCGTTAGTTCCCAAAAGTGGAGCTATCCCCGCATTAAAGCAACACACAGTCAAGCATCACGACGCCCAAGCAAAATAAGATACACATCCCCTGCAACAACATCAAAGTCAAACACTTTAGGTTTTTTACCGTCATCACAATAGTGCATTTTCTCATTGCCCCCTTCGACCAAAAGGGCCCTATAATGCCCATGTTGGACATCATCCCCAAGGTGCAATTCGAAAACATATACAGCACACATCACATGATTGCTTCGCACGTCCGAACCAATGAAGACAGGCAACATGACGTCAGTGCACCCACCCCATTGTCGACCTCACTTTGCGAGTTCCACCTGAGCAGCGCTGAAAACGGTTGAGGCGTAATGAAACCCGCAGTGCATGAATATTTGCTTGGCCCCCCCAGCCGTTGATCACATCCTTGTATTGGCATGCACCATCATCAGGGATATCCAGTGAACTCATGTTTTCACGCACACCCTGATCACGGGCACTGGCGACTCCGGCCTCCCAAAGACACGCATCCCATGTCCCATGAAATGGCGAAAACTGACATTGGCGCGTCAAATGAGAAAAGAGTTTACAAATGTCGCGCTGCTGGCCATGCTGAACACTGAAAGCCTTGCGCTGTGCCAGGATGGCACGCCAAGCGTTGCAACCTATTCCCAAGTTGTTCCCTTGCAAGTGTGTGACATCAACATTGTATACGACATGCAGACACACTCGTTTCATGAGCTACGCCCATAGTGCATTGGTTTTTCACCTCGGCTCGAGGTGCCTGTGCCTGTTCACAGGCAGCCGGTCACACCGGCAATCCGGCTTTCCAGGGAAACTGCATCCCTATACCAGCCTACGGGTGAAAAACCTTCACCGTTCCTGCTGGTGGCAGGCAGCAAAGTGAAAGCTACAAGACCCTTTTTCCACTGACGAACGCAACACGAGAAAAGATAACAAGTCAGATTACTATAGCTGTACACGATGTACTATTTTAATGTTTTGGTTCAAGTTTGGTATTTCCTACGCTTGGCTCAAGAAGCTAACAGCAGCGGACAGTTAGACTTTTGGCACAAGGCGCTCGGAATATGCAGTGCAGTGAAAGCTGAAAGGACTCGTGCCCCTTTTGGTGAAACATAGGTGAACAAGAGGAACTGCTTTGCGAGCGGCGCGATGCAATGCGTGCTAAGACTCATGCGGAGCTAGAGCAGATATAGGGAGTGGTGGGCGGGTGAAATTTTCTAAGCCTGCGGCTGAGCCAAGCTACGGAAATAATGCACTGTTACCAAGTGTAGGTAAATAAAACTAAAACACGCATGACAAAATAAAACATGCCACGTTCAAGTTTGGTATTTCCTACGCTTGGCTCAAGAAGCTAACAGCAGCGGACAGTTAGACTTTTGGCACAAGGCGCTCGGAATATGCAGTGCAGTGAAAGCTGAAAGGACTCGTGCCCCCACTTTAGGTCCGAGCGCCTCTGTGACATAGTCGAACCCCCCCCGCGTCAGAGGAGTTCGTACCTGCAGCAAGCAACAGGCGCATGCACTGCCAAATGCTGAGCAATCAAGGTGCGCAGCTAAGGTGCCACAGCAGGTGCATGATTGGAAACAGAATGCGTCTTTTCTTGCAGCTGCGCGAACAATCTGGCGAGTAGTGCGCCAGAGGAGTCCGACTAAAAGGAATGGCATGCCGCGCTTGCTTGGCGCGCGTGCTGAGCATCTAGAAGGGGCTGTGCCCAGGCTGCATGCGGAGGACGCAGTGTCACAATGCCTTGCGGGCATGCCAGCATTTCAAGGGGGATGCGCTCCCTGTCTGCGGTGCGAGCGGCAAAGCGCTGCAGCTTAGCGCGGCTAAGCTCATCCGCCCAGACGTTCTTCTCCCCTGCGAGGTGCGACACTGCCAAGGATACGTTATGCTGCGCGGACCAGGCTGCGACCAGCTTGAGAAAGCCGCTCAGTGGCTCTGTGGTAGTGAAAAGTTTATTAATGCCTGCTTCGGCTGCAGTGTTATCGGATGCTGTAGGGAGCACGAACTTAAAGCGCCGTGAGTGCAGCCTGCGATGCGTCACCATGGCGAGCGCCAGTTGCGCAAGTGTCTCGAAACAGGCGATGTATGCCTACGCGTGCTTGGTGAGTTCTGGCCAGAAATGTCTGATTTCTGTCATGGACCAAGACTCGGAAAACCAAAAGAATTGCGATGAGGTGCTGATCCATCCTCCTATGCCTATTGTGTCCCCTTCTGCCATGGCGTCGGCTGCTGCCATGCAGCGCAGCAGAGGGGATTGACGCAGTGCGCGGAGCTGGTCATGCTGGAAGCATGCGGACAACCAGAGCAATGCTTGCCTGCTTTCGTTGCGCAGGTGAATTTCATTGCGCGATGGGTCTGCAAGGCGCACCCATTGAGGCTTGTGAGACGGTGGGATGCGTGGCACGTCTTGCTTGCTTTGTACTGTGACTGAGCCTACCTCTAAGAGCTTGGACCCTGGGGTGACCCAG